AATAATGCCTAGCGATGAAATATGATTTTTCATGTAATAAAAATTTGTCTTAATAAAGAATTTTATTCATTTAAATTGTAAACTATACAAAAATCTAAACGGAAGTTAATATTAATAAGGAGTTCAGGTTTTTAACATTTTTAAATACATTCAAATCTTTATTCAAGTTTAAAAAGTGGCCAGTGTTAATTACGACGTTATAAATATTAAAGGGTCACCCCGCGGTCTGTCTGAAATAAAAATGAAGGCGACGCGTGACATCAATATTTAATTAATTGTTGTTGGACTTACCATATTAGACTAACACGCAAATATTTTAAAAGGTTGTCAAATTTGGTATCGATAACTACGAATTGAAACAACACTGAAATAAACTTTATAACTATGTGATATGATTCATTTTGGCTGAACACAATGTTTGAATTTGGACAGGTTTACGTGTAGCGATAGAGCGGTACCCTATACGGTTGTTGTGTTTGTTCTAATAGATCTGTTTTATGAATTACTAATGAAATAGAGCATCAGTAAAGACAGGCAATGCACTTTATATATCCCCCTTATAAAAACTTTAAAAAAATTTGCAGACACTTGAAAGATCTTGTCAACACATTCGTTGTTGTTTCCTATTACGTTGGTTTTAACATTTTTTTTTTTTCAGATACATAGAAAATCTCCACACGTTTATCATTAGTAGTCAACATATCACATTATATTCACACACATATTTTTAATATCATTTTTAAAAATTAGCACAATGATATAAGATTATGTTCCTATGTGTGGACGTGTATACAGTAGAACTGGGATCAGTCATAAGCCGGATTAGACGACCATCGTATCAGGATTGTATTCCAAAGTAGAGAATATCATGGATTTGGCATACAAAGAGTTTTTTGACTACATTCTCCTATAAAACAAAATTTATTTATTTCATTTATAAGTAAAAAATTCACAATTCAGTGGTTAAAATTATTTCAAGCCTTCCTGTTTTAAACATTAGTTTCTAGAATAAGTAATTGACTCTTTAGTTTGTAATTAGGTTCTACTGACTAACCCGTCCCTTGCCTACGTCAAAGTTCGTTTATTTAATCGGCACGTTTAAATCCAGGACATTGTCTTACAGCTTATTATATCTTTGAATTAAAGTGAAAATTTTTATAAATCCAAAGAGGACTAAAGTATGAATTCATGTATGACGTAGTAACAAACGTTGTAGATATATTGAAGGGGGACGGCGCGATTATCCGGATCATCCCGGGCCGGATCAAGCTCGTGTCGCCGGGAGATAAAGCCGAACTACACGATACGTAGCACACACGAATATGTACTCCTGGTACTTGATTCTTAAATTCGAATATTCTTAAACACTTTTATTACCTGGATAGACTATTTTTAAGTTGTTTTTATCATTTCATCTATCTATAGGTGATAAATAAAGTCTATCTATGACTTCAGGTTATAAGGAGGAAAGATTCGTATTTTTCTATGTCTTGGACTGAATTTAATATCACGAGGCCGATTTAAAAAAAACCTTTTGCTATTATAAAGCTACAGTATCTGTAACATATAATACCAGATTTTTTTAATTCCGCCAGAAAGAAGACGCATGAAACCGATAGTTTCTTTTAAGAATCGAGAATAATAGATTTTTTATTAGAACACGACCCCTCTGGCTTTTGATAAAACTTATTTATAGGTTTCATGGAAGTTTCACTCTGTAAGCATGAGTATGAAAAATATTAACCTAATTACAAGATGCTAACTTAACTATATTTCCATGAAATTAAGCAGGAAAACATTAAGTTTTCTTTAACACAAGACATTATCTTTAATATTTATAAACTACCGTTTTTGGCAACAAGAATTATCGCTTCGTAAGCACATATGCTTTACATAAAAAGAATAAAAATAATTCCAACGAATAAAAAATATAAATCGGCTTATCTTTATAAAACCGGCTTATTCGTATAAAGCAACGTCAGCACATAATAACGCTTACATTTAAATTTTTATTTTATTTCAGTCTATATCTGTAAAGAAAGAGATAAATTGTCTATATGCTAATTGTTTTATAAATATGTTAAAATCTTATCTATACAGAATGTAAATACGATCTATTTTTTTTTTAATTTATTAAATCACCGAATAATTTTGTAATGACATATGGACAGAATTTTACGACATGTTAATCTTACGATTCTACTTATGTATGAATGCAAAAATTATTCGATTTGTGAATAAGAAAAATAGAATTAGTAATTAATTGCTCTACCGATCTGAATAAAGTATTGTTGAAGTTTTTATAAAAATAAATTGTGTGTTGTGATTGTTATGTTGACGCTACACAGGTAGGAATTGACAAAAGATATATCTCCGACAGGGGCATAATCCGCCTCGCATTGTGCAATCGTTAATCGGCGCGGATCGACAGCGCGGGTCGACTTCGAATTAATAATGATTTACAACGCCCGATTAGAGGTATTAGGCTTTAGCCACCGTCTTTGACGGCGCTTATCAACTTCTTATTACCTATCTTTATTGCATTTTTGTGTAAAATCGACTAACCGAGTTCACATCAACGTAACTCACAGTTTCCATCTAACCTATAAATCGCACACATAGATAATAAAATAAATTATTCGCAGCAATTTAATGAAGATACTGAATCCATGAATTATTACTAATATTTCATATCAATCTTAATCCGATTTCGATTTAACATTTTGTTGACCTTTATAATATTTAAGAATGAGATGTTGTTAAATTTATTAATTAAATGCATAGTATTTAAGATTTTTAAATGGATATTCTTCTCATTGTGTGTGTATACAGGGAGGGATTACGTTGGAAGCTCTCTGTACGGACAGACGGGATGTACCGGATTAGATTTAAGGGGTAAAAGAACTAGAGTGAGATAAAACATAGAATAATCGTATGGTACAGACAAGGACAAGACAAACGGAGATTTAGAGATTATGATTCATAGCGTAGACTGAATGGAAAATTATAAAGGGGGAGTGGAACGATGTGGAATAAGAGGCCAATGTTTTATACGTAACCGATGTGTTCGAATCGTTTTATAGTTTTTATTCTTTAAAATTAAATATCAACATGGACATAAACGTTATAGAGTGGTTGCGCTTTTCATTTTTTTAACTACTTATTGTGCAAGGTCTGAAAGTAATACCGTGTTTCCGATTTTTACCTAAAAATAATATGTATGCAAGTCGTTATTGTCTATCAATATTAGTTACGTTCATTACGTCACTTCAATATCAGTGAATTAATTGAGGCATCAGATTAACGCACAGATGAGCTGTGCGCCTACACAAAGGGTGCTCCGGCCGGCGCGTGACCGGGAATAAACACCCTGTATCATCACTGAGCTTCTGTATTTGAACTCTATACAAGCCATCTTTGTTAGCGATTTGAAATAATAAACAATTTTGATGTTTATATTAATGTCCGATGGTTTTAAAAATAGAACTAGCTTTTGCCCGCGACTCCGTTGCAGTGGAATTAAAAAAACAAAACTGAGTAGCCTATATGTTCTTCCAAACTATCCTCTACATCTGTACCAAATTTCATCTAAATCCAACAGACATCCATTCATCTAAACTTTCGCATTTATAATATTAGTGTTTGCTATCGCTAAAAAGGGTGACAAAATGTTTTTGTGACAACATGCTGATTAAGAAACAAAGGTATTAACAAGTAAGGAAAGTTAGTTTGTCACTGCCTATCCCATTAATATTGTCGTGAGCGTTTAATAACGTGTAAAAGCTGTACAAATACTTTAAGAGTTAGAAGTAGAATGTTTGTAAATTAAAAAAAAATGGTCCGCACGAGTTTTCGATTTGTAATTAACATATTTTTATGGCAAAATTATTCAAACAGCAGTCACGGAGATAATCATTAAATCTTAACCTAATTCATAGATTTGAATCTGCGATGGAATTTTTTAGATCAAATAATGAAGTTACATAAAATCTAAACCAAATTACAAAGGCGTTTAAAGTTTTAATTCTACATCTCGAAGGATAGTTTTTTTTTACATTTGCTCGCCTTTATATTATGTTATCGATATTTACACTCGAAATCTAATCACTTTAATATCGATAAATATGTCTGAAAATTCCCATCCAGAATTCACAACACTATTATTTCGACTTTCTTAATGTCTATGACCAGAAAAAGAATGATGACGTAATATTATAAAATCACATATAATTAATATAAAAACGTCATAAATCGTATTTGCCTGATATTAACACATGTTTTATGAGAAAAAGCTCGAAAAGAAATGTCGCTTTTAAATAACAGATTTTGTTCCATTCACTTTGTTTAACGAGTTTTTATATATTATGTTTTTTTATTAGCTTCATAAATACACGGAAAACTTTGCTACATGCCTATTAACTACCTATTTTGATTTAATTACCATAACATTTGTCAAATCTAATTTTTGTACTTCGAAAGCTACTTGTTTAAAATTTAAATGGAAAAAAGGCTATTAAATGTACATTTAAAATGTATATTACTTAACTGTAACATGTCTAGAAAGTTTGATTTTGATAACTAAAAGTTTTAAATATTAAAATAGAAATCTTCAAAATTCAAAATGCATACAAATCTATTTTTTTGGAATAGAAATTTTTTTTGACTTTCTATTTTGTGTTAATGATCAATTAATTTAATCTTTTGGATTTCTTTTTCGAATTTCCGTTTTATTAAATCTTTAAGAAAGAAAAAATGAATAATTCATACTATGATTTCGAAAGTTGCGATCAAAAAAACAACGATTATAAAAAATCTAGAAAAATCTGATAAAAAAACATCGTCAGCTTCATAGATAAAAAAAGCATCGGTCACTTAATGCACACAAGGTATACGCAATAAGATAACCGTACAAAGTTTTAAATATGTCTAATTTCTCAGCCTCGGTTCAAAGTTTCGTCAGTGGAAATGATCGCAAACAATTACCAATTGAAAAAACTTACCTGATATTCCTTTATTTAGTAGGTTATTGAATGCTTCTTTCTTGGGTGATAGATGCGGAGTGTATGGCGTGTGCGGCGTGTGTGGCGTGTGCGGTGTGTGCGGCGTGTGTGGACCACGCTCGTGGGCCGCAGGCGCGGACGGCGGCCGTGGAACCGCACGCTCCTCCGGCGACCGTCGCGGCGGAGTCTTGCTGCGACGTAGATCCGATGACAAATTCTGATAAAAAAAACAAGGTTTAGAATTATCATCATTAGACAGCAATTGTACAGATGACACTACAGATGTACACTATTTAAATACAGTCCAAACAAGAATCTCCTATTATAAGTTGGCGTTTAATGTTCTTCTTGTGCTGTATGCGTATTAATGAAACGACGTTTGGTTGGTGACTGATTTATTATAAATCAACTGACGGTAGGTTATACAAAGCTACCTACATTTAACACAATATATTACACTTCTGTTTCCGTTACGTAGATAGTTGTGTAAATTTGTGTAAATTTCAACCAAGTCCTTAGACTGAGATCTTAATTTTAAATCATGGTCGATAAATTGCAATTTGTTACTAATTCATACAAAAGACTTAAATGCAAAATTACTTAGTCATTCCCTTTTTTAAGAAATAATAGTTATATTTCATATTGATTAACACATTTAGTAAAGACATTGAAACGTTTGAGTCTTTGGCCTCACTATTTTAAAATCAATATCATTGTATTACAAGTTTGTCACGATTGTAGATGTAATATACTATTTTTGGATATTGAAAGATATTGCTTAAAAAGAACGACTAGATGGGGCTTTGATCTCGCAGTATCTACAAGATATTAAAAATTCCATAGGTTCTTCTGTTTTGTCAGACCTCTATAATGAAGATACACGCTCTACATGTTTCCACTTTTCTTTTCCTTAACTAAGACGACACGACACGATAAGAGTCTACGGCAAGTAACTTTCAAATTTTATTTCCTGTGCCATAAAAGACAATTTGCTTTAACCATTTCTTGCGTTGAGTTAAGATTGCAAACGACATGAGATACGTTTCCTAGATAGTAATTAGAATAATCTAGGAATCGACCTTGATCGAAGGAATAAATGTTGAGTTTGGCCGTAAATCAAACGTTTCAAATCAAAAAGTAGTATCCATAGAGCGCACGTTGTATATAATCTAAGAAAAGTCGTACCACTTAAAGCGAATCGAGATTCAAATTGGACACGTTGTCCGTTGCGTCAGTCGATACGAACCGTTGATGAGCCGCTCTGATTACATTCATTGAATATTGTTGCTGGATGACGATTTGACCACATAATGGAGAATCTCTGTCCAGCCGCTTAATAAGGTTAACCATGTACAAACATGGCATTTTAAAAGCGCTCATTTCAACGAGCACCGCCAACGTTTACTTACTCTTTTCAATTATTTGACTGTCGTGCTAAATTAATTTGATGGTTAAAATTTTATTATCCATAATTGTGATGTATGAACAATATGCATCAATACAGTTACATATTTATTACAAAATTAGTTCACATTTTTCTTAAGAAAACTTTAATTCCTCGACACCAAGATGTGAATTACCATCAATCAACTTCAGTGACTATAAATGTATATCTTTTAAAAAATCGAGATTGTAGAAGTGGTTAGAATAATTATTCTTCATTGACTTTATTATTGCGCGTTAGAAAACAGTTCCACAGTTGCCCCGAGTGCTAGATCAACAAGTATGATCAACAAGGAAGGCAATAACGCACGTAGAACGGCGGTCGATTCGCGCCACAGATAGGTCTAATATCGTATTGGAATTTGTGATGCCGTTTGACCCCTGTTAACCCAGATTACGCTCCTCGCCGCCTGATTCGTCCTCGGCCGAGCCTGATTGTGTTGTGACACAAACTGTAATGTATTACGTGTTAACTCTTGCTGCAATCACGGCTAGCGGACGACAATTACAATGGATATGTTCGCCGAACTTACAATTTATATGAAGCGATTCGTGCCATGGCCCGAGAATGGTTTGCATCCAACAACCAACGGTTTCTTAGCTTTAATCGATGATTTGTTTGCCTTAAAACTATCTGAAGTGTGATTTACATAAATATGCGTATTAATTTTAAATTGAAACTGGCTTACAAATCATCATAGGCGCAGCTACCATTAATATGCTCTCATTTGGAGTAGTTTTTTTGCATATTTCATGTTGTATTTATCTTTTACCGTACACTAGGGGGCGCAGCAGTCCCCCCGCATATCGTAGTTGTGTCCAGTATCAATTAAAGTGAATAGAGATAGAATTTCCTACTATTTTAACAGTCACTGCAGTTGGAAGAAAATTTAAAAAATTACAATTTACTTGTACGAACTATGTTTTTATTTCGATAGTAAATAGATTACTATTCATAATAACTAGTGTGTTAAATGTCTATGAATATTTAAAATGTACACTCATAGTATATAGATAAATCGACATTTCCCTTGAACATGATAAAAACAATATACATCCGGAAATAAATATTTGTATTTGATAATAAGAATGTGGGAACTAGACGAATATGTAATCATGTTATGTATGTTCGTATTTAAATATTAATATTCAATATATTATTATCAACACAGTTAAAATGTGTACGTGTCGTCTCGCGCACATCTCCAATTAATCATTTAATTTGTGCTATCATATGCGATCTCGAATGATGTTTTTTAAAATTCTAATTCGTGGTTTTACATATTAACGCTTTGTATCATCTTTTTCTATAGCAGTCAAGCACGAAAATCTGTCAGAAACTATTCGTAACATGGTAGATGAAATTTTTGTTTTTTTGCAGCGCCCCTGTCGGGCGTAAGATACAATGTCAATCGTATTTCAAATCGTATAAATGCAAAAGTATATATTTCCATTTATTTTATAGTAGGTATTACCAGATCGGCTCAACAGATCCCTATGTAGTTAGCCAAAGATGTAGATCACACTAGCTTTTTTTTAATTCCCCGCGAACTAAGTTTAAAAGCCACTGTATTTTCTAGAAAGAAAAACTATATTACTTTAATGTAACTTTAATGAATAAATCATACATTTCCGAATTTTATTGTAATCACGTTATTAAGAACTCCGTCAGTGTTAAATGTATTAAAAAAGAATGAAGTAAATGTAACTTATTATCAGATGAATACGGAGGCTCAAACAAGCGCCGAAACTATGCGATAGCAACATTTACTATAGCATTACATGTTTTGTATATCACACTGAGCCCCGATTAATTTATGTCCCAGTTATTTGTACGAGATAGCATTTAGAAACGTCTCGTATTTGTATATCATGTGGGCTTATCTTTTAATTCTCCAGCTGTCAACGTGTTAAGAACGCGAGCGCAGGTTTTTCCATAAGAAACGACGCCACACAAACTATTAAATAAAAAACTTTAACGCAATTTTTAAAACAGACAGATGTTTTCGTTATCTACTATTGTAATTTGTAGACTCAAGATTATTTTCTTAACTTAAATCAAATATTTTTTCGCTAAGAATAGTCTTTACTGAGTAGTAACATTATTTGAAAACTACGTATTGTCTTTGATGAAATTAAATATTATTATACATAAAGCATACATCAAATCGTATCGCATATGAACTTGAAAAAGATAATACATGCGTTTATTCTAAGAAACAGAACGGGACATTCCCAGGAGTCGAATGCAGAAGGTTCCGAGAGCCGATGCAGAATTATAAAAGCGGTACACGCGTTAGGTGAATGAAGAGAGGGGCGCCATGAAAGTGCAAACCGACCGTGTTAACGTGCTCGCATATCTGAAACTTTTGCTGTCTATTTAATATTCAATTTACGATCTTATATGACTCGATAAAGGATCTTGCTGTTATTGTCCTAGTTTCCATTTCCATTGTAACATTTATTCATTAAATAGTACTCATAATCTGTACTCTGTACTAATATTATAAAGAGGAAAGATTTGTATTTTTGTATGTATTGAAATAACTCAAAAACTACTGAGCCGATTTCAAAAATTCTTTCACTATTAAATAGCTACTTTATCAGTGAGGTATATATTTTTTATTATTTTACGCGGCCGAAGTCGCAAGCAACAAGTAGCATACATTTATTTATTTTATACGCTTTTTTGTTTTACTTCGCATTATTATAAGAGGTTATGTAAGGGTTCATATGTATTGTGGATTACGATTACGGTCATATGTTAAATTATTAAGATTTATTTAGTGTTGAGTTTTAACATATTAAAATTAATATATTAGCTTTAAATGTTGTATTTAACTAATGTCACAACATACAAATATAATGTTATATTTTAAATTCTTAATTAAAACACATGATGATTTATATATTTAAGAAACATATGTTTCCGTGTGACACGTTCCGTAAATTAAAAGATAGACAGATAAAAAAATCGTGTTGCTACCACGCACTATTTATTTTCTCAGATATTTTCTATATTAATAAAGTATTACATTAAGGTTAATTAATCTATACAGATTATAATCACGTCGCATGTATTATGTAAGGGCGTTGAATCCCGTTATGTGATTTCTAAGATTATTCAAGACTTAAAAATTAAGATGTACGTTTTTATCTTAGCTTATCTTAAACACTGATTGATTTTATCTAAGCGATATGAACTATCAGATCTTTTCATCTATTTTATAGGCAATAGTTTTAACAGTGCCAGTGGAATTTTAAATAAATGAGATTTTAAAATGTTTAAAATTAAGATATTGATGTGATATATAGATAAGGGACATAGGAGGCTCTGACTAATAACATTTGTCGCAAGAGAGGCGATGGTCAGCTGATAAGCTTTTATAACTTTCTGAGATTATTTTAACAAACGAAGCTTTTAAATGAATACATGTTTATAGTTTGTTTCAAATTTAATATTATGAGTATGTATGTATAATGTAATATAAAAATCGATTTTAAGAAAAAAAAATTATCAATTACATCAATTTCAGATTCCAGTTTACATTTTTTTAATCTTTATTTATTTCAAAAATTAAGATATTCTAAGCAATTAATAAAATCGAAAATAGCAATCAAAACAACTTGAATCTTTGTACGTAGAACTGCCAAGTATACGTAGTGTAGCATTTGTTTACTCTAGCCACCTCGCCTGCAGCCGGGAGTCGGTGTAAGCACAACACTAATCCGTACAGACAGCGGGAGCATGTCTTATCCTACGTTTGTTTAGCT